CCGGCGGGAGGAGCAGAGGGGCCCTGCGGGGCAGGGGTGGGGGCTGGGCAGGGGGCAGGCAGAGGTGGGGGTGGCAGGGACCCAGCGTGAATCAATCAGGGTTTAGGGGGTTGCGGAGAAGCAGCAGCAGGGAGCGGTTTGTACAGATCTGTGGGATTAGATCTCATGGGGTCTCTCAGCCAGAGCTCCTGCAGAAGGAGCCAAAGTCACTTCAGGACAACTGGTAACACTGTAATGGTCACACACAGCGGGGGCGGGGGGGAGAGAATGGGTAAGGGGAGCAGATTGACGGAAAACCATTATATAACCTTAAAAAAATCGTTGGGTCAGTCTCATGATTTTTTTTTAAACTTGTGAGGGTGGCAGCACTGGGAGAGGCAGGGTGGGTTTATCCAGGGGGAATTAGAAGAAGCAAGAAGGCAAATCTGAATGAAAATAAAACAAGAATAAAGGGAGAGGGAGAGTCCAGGAGAAATGGTGGAAAATAGAACTGAGAAGAGTGACAGGAAAATATCCCTGGCAGGGAACCCAGGGGCAGCAAGAGGGGAAGGGATAAAATCAGGGGAAAGAATGGAGCAGCCATGGGGGATGATCTGTGACAGGGAGGAGAGGAGAGTGGGAGAGACACAGGAAAATAAACAGGGACCACAAGTGAGGGCTAGAAACATGAATAGAAAAGGACAGTATGAAAGGAAAGGGAACAGAGAGATTTATTACATGTTACTGAAAGTGCGACTGTAACTCATGAATTCCCTATATCAATTCCTGGGCATTGGTGCTATTTTTGTGCCATTAAGAAAACTGTTCTCAGTAGCTGGGGAATCTCCTTTCCATGCTGTGGTTATTAAGGCTCCTTCTCGGCTCTGTTTACTTAGCACCTCTAGTTACTTACTGTAAATAAAACATTACAAAAAATTCTTCTTGTTTGCTTCACTTTATGTCCCAGCTGCAGTGGTCTGGGGCAGAGCCGTGGGATTTGCTTCCTGACTTGGTTGTGTCTCCCAGCCCCCACAGGGAATATTGCGCCTTTAGGAGGAGAGTTTGGGGTTTACTGTGATGTCACTATCCAGCCTGTGCTCTGTCTCTGTCCTGTACCAGGCTGGCTCCAGGTTTTCTGCTACCCCAAGTGGTGGGGGAAAAACAATCCGATCGGCGGCACTTCGGCGGCAGCTCAATCGCGCTGCTCCATTCTTCGGCAGCAGTTTGGCAGCGGGTCCTTCACTCCCTCTCTTCCTCTGCGGCGGCAACTCAAAGAGGAAGAGAGGGACTGAGGGACCCGCCGCCGAATTCCCACCGAAGATCCGGACGTGCCACATCAATAGTGGATGGAGTGCCGCCCCTTGGTATTGGCGCCCCAAACACCTGCTTCCTTACCTGGTGGCTGGAGCCGGCCCTGGTCCTGTACACACCCATGTCAATCAGGAATTGCTCAGCTGTGCTCTGCGGAAAGGGGACTGGTTACACAGGGTGCAGTCCATGAAGGGACTTAGGTGTTGCAATGCTGAGCATCACAAGGCCTATTTTTAGGCAGCCAGAAAATCATATTCTGCAATGCTGAGTTAGGTGCCTAAACTCCCTAGACATGTCTGGGCAACACAGGCACCTTACAGTGTGATTCACAAAAGCCAGCTCACTAGGTGGGGAGCTATGTAAGCTAGCCAATAGAAGATGCTGACGGGGGGAAGGGGGATGGGGCTACCCCACCCAATGCCACCTCCTCCTCCAGGCGCCTAAGGCGTTTCTTGCTGGAATGACAGGAGGACTTGTGGCACCTTAG